GTATTCATTGAAAAAAAATCTGCGTCCTGTCATCAGGACACATTGTCGCCAACGTGTTAATCATGTATTTTGAGATCTGATTCCCCCCCCCCTTTTATATTGATGTGATGTTTTTGCCAGCCTATGATTATTTCATAGGTTGCAGGTCAAAGTAAGGTCATATGCATATTAGCCAAATTCGGAATCATTAACTGATAAGAGTAGTAGCAATATTTTGTAGGGTGCAAGCTTTCCCAATGCTTTCAGGCTTGTGTAGGTCATCTTTACCTTCTTATATGAATTTTTATATGAGGTTGGAATTTTGCTCACTAGATTCGTGTCTCTGTGATGACTTCAAAGTACTTCAAAAAAGTCCTGCCATTTGTATGGCCTTCACCCTCCCTATTTTAATCTAAATCCCCACTATGTTATGTTGTAGGCCTGCATATCGAGAGAGCACTTGGGACTGAACCCATCATGGATACCACTTAGTGCTTTGACATGCAACAATTTTAACACATATTTTCTCCCAGAATGGTCAAGTATTTTCCTATGAAGTGCCAGATAATTATATCGACTTCTTAAAAATAACAATGAAGTTGTCAATTTTAATTATATTTTATTTTAACTTTAAGAACATCTCATTCATGAGTCATAGAGTAGGATTATGAAATAAAAAGGCTTGGCATAGGTACTGCATTGGCAACTAGGAATGTGGCTTTCATTTTCAACTCAAAAGAGAAAAAGCTATGCATTCTGGTTGAAAATGGTATACATCTATGTAAAAGTGTTTTTTCATAGGGTAAACTCATTTAAAAGTATATGCTGGAGTGATGAAAGCAGCATGCCAGAAAGTTAGGAGCAACAAAGAGCGGTAACATGAAATGCAAGAGTAGGTTGCTGGTTAGGCTTGGATTGGAAATTTAAATCATAGTCAGCCTTTGAGCTTTGTGTCTGATCTTTGGAAAGATATGGCCTGCTAAAGGAGGAGAAGGAGGTAGCTGTTAGAGACAAGAGACGTGAGGAAGAGCAACTGAAGATGGATCATGTCAAGAGAGCAACTACATCGCAGCTGCGGCATGATGGTTAGTCATTTTGGCATTTTAGCATCATCACCTTGCAGGTCTTGCTGCATCTAGACCATGCTTGTGGCTTAGGCCTATATAGAGGATGGAAGCCTCTGTATTTTGCAGTATATTTATTATGCATTGCTAGTTTAATGAAGAAGAGTAATTTCAGGTTTTCCCTAACACTTAAAACTTCTCAGTCTC